GTGTGCATGGAGCATAAATGATTAAGTGGTGTGGGTGCAAGTGCAAGTTCCCTTATTTTCCTTTCTCTATTCATAAAAGTACTACTAATTATCATTATCATCATCATAACTTTTTTCCACCTATTTGGGGGTTGTCTAATTCATAGATGTATCCTTAGTATAGAAACCCTTTAATATCCAATTGAAATATTTCCTTACCTCGTATACCATTTTTGAGAAGCAAGAAGAAGTATAAGTGCTTTAAATCGGTTCCCTCCATTCTGAAAAATAAATTTCATGTAAAAAAGAGGTGCTCCAAATCTAAGGCTCTTTTGTTCATTGATGCCAAATATGAAAGATTTTGGAGAGGAACATCTAGGGGAGAAAAAATAAAAATAAAAGAAAAGAAAAGAAACAACTTGGATCTTCAAGAGTTCCAAGTCAATAAAAAGTAAATAAAGAAAATAAATTTGGACATTTTATAGAACAGCAAATCAATTGTTAAAAATTGTTAAAGGAGCCACCAAATGAAATGAGGTTGTATATAATGAGATCATTTATCTTTATTATAAGGCGGTCACAAGCACTTCTACTCATTAAATTTCAAATTGAATGGCTTGGGTTAGTCACGCAATTCGAGAAAAATCTTTTTTAATTTAAAGTCTTTTCAATAACACTCTTACAACCACTCAATTTAAAATCCAAGAGCAAAGAGTGAAGGTGACCTCTTGTACAAAAAGTAAAGGGAAAATATACTTGTAGATCATATTTTTAAGTTTCATATCTCCATATCCTCAATGCTTCAAAACCTATCTGCCAGCCTAAAGATTTGGGTAAACTTTCTATACGTCCCCTACAACATAGAAGTTCTATGCTCCCCTTTATCCAACCGTCCATTCTGAATGTAAGGCTAAGATTGTCCCAATCACAATGTCACGTCTCAACACTATTTTATTTTTAATTTGTTTTTCTATAAACTATTTTGATACCAAATTTTGGACATCCATTCCTCTTTTAAACTCACACCAGCAAAAAATATAAAAAATATATTTTCAATAAAATAAAATGATGAAAATACCCTTGAAAGTTTCAAGGGATATTTTAGTCATTATATTTTATCAAAAAATTATATTTAATATTTTTTATAAGTGCGTTCCAATTAGAAGATGGCACCTACCAAATTTCATATTCATACAGTTTGTATAAAAAAAAAAAACTAAAAATAAAATACCTTGCGATGCCGGATCTAAGATCAATGATGGGTGGCTCTCTTGACCAAAATTGGACGGCTGGATGGTAGGGGGAGGATAGAACTTCTATGTTGTAGAAGAAACATAGAAACCTTGCCCTAAAGATTTTATCTATTATATGTTCCAAGCCCCTAAAACAACTTTGCCCGTTTTTAACTTATTTATTTAGCTCAAACAAACTTAAAAAACTGCATTTTTCTAAACTTCTCTCCCTTCACGTTTACTCTGTCCTCATATACCAAACCCAATTTTTCTCTTTCCCCATATGTCAAACCCACATTTTATGTCTTCCCATCTGCCAAACCCATATTTTCTCTCTTCCCAACTTTCAAACCTCTGTCCGTATTTTCCTTTTTTTCTCTCTCTACATTATTTCTATAGTTTCTAAAAACTAGGTTATCTCTCCCCATCTGTCAAACCCATGTTTTTTCTCTCCCCATCTGCCAAATCCCACCCTGTATTTTCCCCCTTTTTTCTCTCTACATTCTTTCTATAGTTTCTGAAAACTAGGTTATCTCTCCCCATTTGTTAAACCCACTTTTCTCTCTCCCCATCTGTCAAACCCACATTTCTCCCCTCTTCATATTTCCTTATTTTCTCTCTCCACAAACCCATTTCTCTCCTCTCCGTATTTCCCCATTTTTTCTCTCTACATTGTTTCAACAGTTTTTTGAAAACTAGGTTAAAATTGTAGAAAACCCCTAAAACGAGCTCTTTAAAATATCTTTGAAACACCATTAGAGCTTCATCATACTCTGCGTTTTTTTTAATTTATGGCGTATGGTTTGGAAGCCACTTAACATTATGATATAAAAAAAACATCACAAATACATATCAAGTTATAGTTTCGCTTATGAAATTCGGATTCAGATCCAAGTTATTCTCTTTTTTGAACTTGGGTTCAGTGGTTGGCAATTTTTATTGTTTCTCTTATGAAATTGGGTTCAGATCCCAGTTATTGTTTCTCTTTTGAAATTGGGTAGAGTGGTTGGCAGTTTTTTTTATTCTTCACGCTTTAGCCTGGCTAAACCACTGGGTTATGAGAAAAGGACTTTGATGTTAAGAATGAATCAACATGAGCAACTAGAATTACGTGAAACTACAACCAATGATCAAATGATCAATAAAGCTCCAACCAATGATCAATTTGATACACAAATTTCATGAAACCTTTGCAAGAGATGTCTTTTGGGAATCTATGGGTAACCTTTGAAAGAGGATGTGCTTTGGGAACCATTTCTATACTGGCTCCAAACAATAATCAATTTGATGCACAAATTTCATAGAACCTTTGAAAGAGGATGTTTTTTTGGAGCCATTTCTAATTTTTACTGATGTACATTGATGCTTTGTGCTCCATCTCTATTCTCCATATAATTACTAATGTACATTGAAGCTTTGTGCTCCATTTCTGTTTTTCATATAATATTAAATATTTGTATTGCAAAAAAAGAGTTAGGTCCAAAGAGAGAATGGGAGAAAAAGAGTTGGGTGTGAAGAGAGTGGAGTCTCCATATAATTTTAAACGTTTATGCCGCAAAAAAAGAGTTGGGTGTGAAGAGAGTGGGATCTCCGTAAAATTTTAAACGTTTATGTTGCAAAAAAAGAGTTGGATGTGAAGAGAGTATGGGAGAAAAAGAGTTGGCTGTGAAGAGAATGGAAGCCATGGGAGAGACAAAAACAATAAAAAATACAGAAATAAAAAGAGGACAGGGAGAAAAAAAAATAAGGAGTGAGAGAGGGGGGTTTTGGGAGAGAAAAAGAATAAAATAATAAGAAGTACGGAAATAAAGAGAGGACATAAAGAGAAAAAAATAAGGAGAGAGAGGGGGATTTGGAAAATAGGGAGAAATAAATCAGGAAAACAGCATGGGAAGATAGAGAGACAGTGAGAGAGAAAAAGAATGAGAAATACAAAAAGAGAGAGAACTTAGAGAGAAAAACATAGTGGAATACAAAAAGAGAAAATTAAGAGAAAAAAAAATAGAAGAATACGAAGAGAGAAAGAGGGGTTTAGGAGATGGGGAGAGAGAGAACAAAAATAAAAATAAGGGTATAGAAAAGAGAGACGATTGGGAAAGAAAAATAGGGGAATACATAGAGAGAAATAGGGGATAAGGGTTTGGGATATGGGGAGAGAGAGAACGGAAGGGAGAGAAGGGTATAGAAAAGAGAGAATTGGGAGAAAAAAAATAAGAGAATACAAAAAGAGAGAGGGGTTTGGGAGATGGAGAGACAGAGAAGGGTATAGAAAAAAAGTATTTTTTGTAAGAAAAATTTCACCGTAATTCCCATCTTATTTCACAATATACTTTCCTTCTATTTTTCTTTCATACGACTTAAAAAAACCCTCAAGTATTTCACCGTATCTTCTCATCTCTTCTCTCCAACGCTTATTCACTTTTGGCTATAAAAACTAGCCCCAACAAATTGTTTTATTCCATCTTAATTCAAAAGCTCTTTTTAACCCTATTTAGTCAAATCATAGAAGTAATATAAAGATTACATTATTGATAAGCCACTACTTTATTATTATTATTATTACTATTATTATTATTGGTACCATTTTAAAAATTATATTATTGAAAAAAAAATTATTTGTTGAAAAAGTGCAAAATAAGGTTAAAAAGGCTTTTGGATTGAGATGGAATAAAACAATTTTTTAAATTAGTTTTTATGGCTAAAAGTGAACAAACATGGGAGAGAAAAGATGAAAGGGTACGGTGAAATACTTAAAGGTTTTCTTATACCGCTTGAAAGAAAAATGGAATGAGGGTCTAGCATAAAATAAGATGGGCAATCAAGGTTCTGTACGAAACTTTTCCTTTTTTTTAAGTTTGTTTGGGCTAAAAATTTTGGGGTAAAAATGGATAAGATTGGTTTATAGAGAAATAAAACTTAAAAATAGGTTTTACAGATATATTTTTCTCATAAGGTAAATAATCTCTTTGTCTACTTTTCCATTGTGTATTTGTTCCTAGAATTATCACAGGTGAGCTATGCATGGTGTACATTGCTCAGGCTACCAACCCCAAATTCTTTCTCATTTGTTTTGGCTAGGTACCAACTTCTGACATAGCAATACATTTATATACATTTGGGAAGCAACCACATAAATACACAAATCATGTTTATAAACACGTGCATGTGCAAACATCCTAGATGTCATAAAGGTCACAAACTTACAATCTACCTATCACATGTGAAATTGGGCAGCTGGGAATGTCCTATTGACAGCTCCCAAAGTTCGATAAAAAAAAATTATGAGCTTTGTGCAAAGAAGAGATGCACTCAAGCCATTCAATTTTATGCACGATGGCTCGGGTTTCTGTGACCTTTACTAATTATTACCGATTTCTCAGGATTTTATCTAAACTTATTGAATTTTTTTGGCTCTGTGGAGAGCTCAGGGTGGACTCATGTGAGTTGAATTGTACTTTCCTCAGTCACATGGACTGCCCAGTGCCTGAGTTCCGCAGCTTAATTTTCAAACACGTACAATACACACGATGTCTGTAATAGCTTGTGGTTGCCATTGTTCCACTAGAAAAAAACAAATGGAATTGACAATACAAATGGATTGTAAACTTTATGACCATTACCGATTGGTACAAAGAGATCACAATCACTCTCAACCACTTTAATGTGGAACAAAGCCATTAAGGTAATTAAAAAAAATTGAGAAAATCTTTTCGAAATCGAGTTTGGGCACTAGCATTGCCCAAACTGATTGATTTCACTACTATCGGTTAAAGAGTATTTTTGACTTACTTGTACCAAGTTCTTATTGTATACTTTTCTGATTATAAGTCATTACACGCCCGTATTTGTACAAGGGGTGAAATCTAAACTCTTTCATAATATATAACCTTGTTACATGGTGCTAAGATATTTACCGGAGCTTGAAAAATGCTCCAAAAGTAGTGAACATTTAGAGAAAATGATAAGGGTCCAAAAATATAGTACAGGGGAAATACCTTACCTCAAACCTCCATTCTCAGTTGTTTACAACTCCTTCAATGAGATCAACCCACAATTCATTAAAGAAGCAATCAGAGACTGCCGCTTTGGCTGAATCGTATGAGAGTAATCGCTTTCTCAAGGATCGAAGATCTCTTAAATCCTTGTCAGTATGTTTCTGGTGTATATTATGAAACAATAGGAAGCAGAATGAAAATGTTAGAAAAAGAACAATAATATTTTCTCAAGTCAGATAAGAAAATAAAGGACTGCAAGATTTGGACTTTGAATGCAAACTTACATATGACTTCTTGGTCAGTAAAATGTCCACCAAATAGTGTAGCCACAACACATTCGTCTTCGGGAAGCTGTCATACCATTCATGCATAATTAGCTCTCTCTCTCTCTCTCTCTCTCTCTCTCTCTCTCTCTACTACGTACGTACGTACGTACGTACGTACGTACGTACGTACGTACGTACGTACGTACGTACTCGTACGTACGTAACGTAACGTAACGTAACGTAACGTAACGTAACGTTAACTTAACGTTACTTACGTTAACGTTAACGTTAACGTAACGT